AAGAAAAAGTATTGTAACCTATATTAGTCTAGTATCGAAAAAGAGGGGGGTATCGTCCATTAACAAGAGCTAGACAAAATGAAGGTTAAGGGATGTACTTTGATGAATGGTTGTTTTATGTGCTTGAGAAATGAGGAAGACTGTCGTCACCCTTCTGCTTAGGTGCCCTACTGCTTATGAATTCTGGAGCTTGGTGTATGGCTTGTTAGGAATCTGGTGGGTACAGGCTGGTTCGATTGGGGAGGAGATTTGGGCCTTGGGGGGGGGGGGGGCGCACAAAGACTCATTCCCTTGTCTGTTTTTTGAGTTATTTGGAAGGAAAAAAATTTAAGAGCTTTTGAGGGGATTGTGAATAATACTAGTAAACTAAGAGAGAAATGGTTTAATTACTTCGGTTGCCTTGTGTTGGGGTATGATATCATTAAGGTTGAGGATTTTGGGGATGTCATTGACTCACTAACAAATTTGTGAATCTTTTGTAAAAAAGTGGTACTCCCTCTTCTTTGGTACCTTGCTAATACAAATATCATACTTTTTCTTTCAAAAAAAAAGTAGATTTAGTATGTGAAGTTTTATATATCCAAATGCTATGAAAATGGAAAGAAATCCACGCATTGAACTTATATTACTTTTTTTTAGTTTCATCCTGCAGTTAACTTCTTGGTGGAAACTTGGTGTTTGATTAAAAATATGATGTGCAGTTGGGAAACTTTTCAACCTGTGGGTGACATGCTTCCTCAGCCAGAGTGGACTGCATGGGACCAAACTGTCGAGTACTGTGCTTTTGCTTATCAACAATATATTGTCATATCTTCTCTGCGCCCTCAATATAGATACCTGGGAGATGTTGCAATTCCCTATGCGACTGGAGCTGTTTGGCATCGGAGACAGTTATTTGTTGCCACACCAACTACTATTGAGTAAGATATTGCTTAGATATTTTGCAACTTTCACTTATACTTTAGTTGTAGTCCCTGTAGGAGGTAGTAGCTGCATTTTACTGTGGATTGTTAATGGGAACAATAACAAAAATATGAACCTTTAAATTATGATTTTTTTCTATTGAGATTATGTAACTTGGCCAAGTGAAATAGAAATAGAAAAATATAAGATAAAATCATCTTCTAGTTTTCATTTTTGAAGTTCATGTCTTTGCATATTGGAAGATTTTTGGAATCGCATAGATGTCTTGACTGAATTATAAATAATACTGTACATGGGTAGACACCCACTTAGTAAGTGTAATTAATGATTCATATTATACATTTATTTCAAAGAAAGTTCATGTCTTTATTATTTTTTTTCCATGAATGTATGTTGTAGGTTTCTGTATGTGGAATAATAAGCGCAAATGAGAATAGTTCTTTGGAAAACAATAAAAGCAATATTTTAAAGTTTCCATACTCCATCAACTTTTTCAATATCACTTTCTTCATTGTTCAGTAACTTACTTATTTTGTGAATAAAATACATATAAATTTAGGAAATGAAGACTAGAAAATATTTTAATATACTAAATGGATCCATAATGTTTGTATTTTAATTTTATGTCTAACAAATAGATCTATAGATGTACTTGACAAATAAGATGAGTGAAAAATTAAAATAATATAGTAAAAAGAATAAAATTGAAATAGACAGGACCTAGGATCAGCAGCAGAAAAAGATTAAAAAAAAACTGAAATAGTTTCCTTGGGTATTATTTGTCTGTCCATAACTTTGATATATGATTTTTGAACATCACTAGTTTCCATGTTTGCTGTTTCTTTTTCTTTTTCCTTTGGGAATAGAAAATTTGAACACTAATTGCTGATCTTTCAAGACACTAACACGCCATATGGCTGTAGTTGGGCATAGAAGTTGTTTGAACCATTAGTTATCTTTCCTGGGACCTTATTCTTGAACCGGAGGCAGTAACATGGCTGCATGTGGGTGAATATGTTGGTCCGAACACCTATGATTAGCCTGGGCCTTATGATGCTATGCATGCAAGACACATTAGCTCGTGCAGAGGAGGTAAACAGAATTGGAAGTGGCTATCATTGAATTTCCCGTTTCAGTGACTTTCCCTCGAAATTTTTCCTTCTTTTTTTGTCCCTAGAACTTATCTTTATCTCAAATGCTTGTTATCCCTCTTATTCATTCTTTCCTTTCTTTATTGACTTCTGCTCATGGCTCTCAGAATTCTGGGAGGCGTGAATATTAGAAGACTTTCGGCAACTATAATAGCATTAGGCTACTATTTCACCCGTTGTCTTCTTAATTCAATATGGGCTTTACGATTGCAATTGAAACATGAAGTCTAAAACTTGTCTTACTCTGACTTGTTCCTTATATCCAACATAAATGAACTAAAATCTTTCGTATACTCTGGATGGACCTGATCTGTTTGAGTTTCTTCAAATAGTCCCTTGGAAACCAGAATGTGTTGAGTGGAATAAAATGCTTCTTCAACTTTTTCTTATAGAATTTCTAACCAACTTCCAGCTCATCTCCTTATGTCATCCGCTTAAGTCCTCTTCTAGAATTTGGCATCCCCTACGAGATTAACACTAGTAGGCTTACCTTCTCGAGTTCAACAGGCAGCATGAAAGTATTTGCCTATGCCCTACAAGTAATTTTCAAAGTCTGTGGCACTCTGATTGCGATTGAAAGGCATTGAGTTTGCAACTCTTACTTTCATGGTGTTTTTGTTCCAACCAAGTTGTATTTGACCGATTTTCTTTGACAAGGAGCATAAGGAGCATTCAGCGGTTGGATTAGACTAGCATCCAACAATTTGGTAAGCTGTTTCTGCAGTTTATGCAATTCCTTTGGGGGCATTTTATAAGGGGCCTTTTCAAGGGGGTTAGTGCTTGGAAACAACTCTATGTTGTGATCTGAAAGCGCTCTTGGTTGCAAACTCTTAGGCGATTCACGGCTAGCAATTCAACAGCACTATCTGCAATTTCTCCAAAATGATATAGCTTGATCTCTTTGATCAAGTTCATTCGAACTAGGAAACAAACTATCTTAGATGATGTGTCCTTGATAAGGAACGCCATGCAAATACAACATGGTGGGAGCAAAGACCAGGAATGTTTAAGAGTTCCATATCCAAATGCTTTTCATGGAAGAGTTCCAGAGATCTTAGAAATTACTTGTGGGCAAAATTTCAGGCTGGCCATATTGCTGTAATAAGGTAATAAAATTAGTATTTATTTTGTAGGGGATGCCAAACTCTAGTGGAGGACATAACCAAAGACCTTATAAGTTCGTTTAATACGTTAGAAAAAGAGTTGAAGGAGTTGTTTTCTCCCCTCAAGACATCTTGATTTCTGAAGAACTCTTAGAAGAAACTCAAATAGACTGTGTCAGCCCTAGAGCATGTGAAAAATTTTGGTTCCTTTATGTTGTTAGGAAAACATTTACGGAAGACAAGTTGTTAAACTTCATCTCTGGCTTGTATTCATGGACCCAGATTAACGAAGTTACTGAGAAAGTTAAGAATTCCATATCTAAAGTGTAGTGGAAGGAGTTCTTAAAACCCTGGAAATTGTTTTGGTGCATGGACCAATAATTCTAGGCTGCCCATATTGCCATAACAAGAAGATAATGAAACTAGTGTTTACATTTTAGAGGGAAAAACTTGAGTTGAGGACATAACTAAAGGCCCTATAAGTTTGTGAGAGACCTTATAAAAAGAACTGGAGGAGCTTTTTCTCCTACTCAACACTTCTTCGGAGCTGTTTCTCCTACTCAACACTTCTTGGGTTGTCTACTCCTATATAAAACTCAAATAGACTATCCTAGAGTATGTGAAAGATTTTACTTTAGGGACATGTTAGAGAAAGAAAAATTGTTGAAGTTTATGTCTGATTTGCAATCATGGACACAAACTTAATTGATAAGGCAAATGTTAGGAACAAAATAGTTCCTTATCCACAGGTTTACCAAAGAAAGAATAAAATTAATAATCCTGTGTGTCTGCCTATATCTATGTATGTTAGTGCTAATGTTTATTGTATAGTCAGCATGTAAGGGTGTTAAAATAGGTGTCAGATGTGTATTAGAGTAAGATATAAGTTCGTCTAAGACAAGGACAGTTTAGGTAATTCTGGAAATTCTAATTCCAGAATTAACTGCTTATCTTTGTACATATCCTCTTATGTGAGGGAAAAAACATCATTATGTCTGGAATTTGATGTTAATGGAGGGTGTATTTCTTTTTTAGAGATAATAGGATTCTCTCTATCCAATGAACCCTAACTATTTCCCTTGAATCCTAAAGATAGATAAAGGCAGAAAATCAAAAAAGCATGACAGCATGCCTACTGATTTTGCTGTTCATTGTCTCAACGCAATCTGTCAGTAAAAACCATAATAATTTGGTTCAGAGCCAATCGTTATGGCTGATCTAGAATTTTTATTTGAAAAATTATTGCAAACTTATCATGAGGATAGGGAGCAAGACAAGTTGAAATTTGGATATCTGGTTGTTCGGTTGGAGGAATTTTTGACCAGGAAAGTCCAGAAAAAAGTTGGAGAGGGACTAGCTGGGCCGGGCAACACCAGCGCTCTAGGCTTTTGGGGGCAACAGAAGAACAGGGATGCACAGGAGAAGACTCTTAGGCACAGAACCCCTTGCGCGTGACTAGAACTGCAGAAGCGGGGTTGTGCGGTGCACAAACCCCCTGGGTGCAATCCGTGATTCTGATCTGGCTTTTCTGTGGACACTGTCGATTGTACCATTCTGCGTAGATAGACGAAGTTGGATTTTATGAGGTATGATAAAGCCAGTGATCCTCTTCCACTGGTAGGGAGATGTGAACGTTTCTTCCTGTATCAGCAAATGGCAGAGAAAGGAAAAGTGTTGCTAGCTCTTTCATTTGGATGGAGAAACACAACTTTGGTTTCTAAATTGGAGAAGGATTGACCAATTTTGAGTTGGACAGATTTTAAATATTTGTGTCATCTCCAGTTTGGACCATCAATTTGCAGCAATAAATTAGGGGAATTGTGCAAATTGAAAGAACTGGGTTCGATGGTCAAATATCAAAGGCAATTTGAGTTACTTTATGCACAAGCAAGTTCATTCACTTCTGAACAAGAAGTGACAGTTTTCATTAGTGGGTTAAAACAATACATTCCAGTGGAGGTAGAGTTGCAACATCTGAGGGATTTTACTTGAGCCATGAATTTGGCATCATATTATGAGCGCAGAACAGTGCGCAATCTGATTGAGCCTGGTTTGGTGTGCAAAACAGTATCCAACTTTGATTCTAGCAATTCTGGCTGAATTATGGTTGCAGAACATAATCAGCCCACTTCAAGTGCCTTAATAATGGTCTTTTCCCACTTTAAAGTGGCTTTCAGCATGGAAAATGAGCACCAACGTGCTCAAAAGTTATGTTTTAGTTGTAATGAAAAATTTCATCCCGCGCACCATTGCAAAAGGCTGAAATATCTGTGCATCAAAACATGTGGGTGAAGATGATGAAGGTAAGAGGATTTATTGATTATATTCCAGTCATTATTTTAATTGATTCTGGTATCACTAATAGTTTCTTGGATGAGAACTTGGCAAAAACCTTGAATAAGCCTGTTCTTTATTAAAATGCCCTTAGGATTGTGGTTGCTAATGATGAGAAAATTCGTAGTAGTGGTTTATGTCAAGCAGTCTCCTTGAAATTGCAACATACAACTTTTTCTCTGGATCTTATTCTCATTACATTGTCTAGATTTAATGTAGTTTTGGAAATTAATTGGTTGCGAACACTAAACCCTATTACTTGGAGTTTCAAGGATATGCAGATGAGTTTCGTGTTCCAGGTTTCTAAAGGGACTTTGTGTGCCATTCCAAAATCTTTTTCTCCCATATCTTTTAATTCTTGCAATTCCTGTTAAAAAAGGGGATCAATCAGTTTTGTTGAGTCAAATGTTAGTTGATTTTATAGCCTCTTTCAAGAACCTTAGGAGTTGTCTCCACAGAGAAAATTTGACCAGTGAATCATGTTGTCGCCAGATACTCATCCTGTGGTAGTAAGGCCTTATCACCACCCGCACTTTTAGAATGATGAGATTGAAAAACAATTTTCCAGAATGCTTCATCAGGGGAATTATTCAACCTATCAATCTCCATTTTTCTTCTCCAGTGTTGTCAGTTCAAAAAGCAAATTCTACTTAAGAGATTTTATGCTCAATGCTAAAACAATTAAGGATAAATGTCCTATTTCTGTTATTGAGGAGTTGTTGGAGGAGTTGCATAGATCCTCATACTTTTCCAAGTTGGATCTTCGCTCAGGTTATACACCAAATCTGTATGGCAGCCAATAACATTGAGAAAACTGCATTCTAAACTCATGATGGTCATTTTGAATTTTGTAATGCTTTCTGGTTTCACTAATGCACCTTCTACATTTTGATATTGATGGATCATATATTTCACCAATATTTAAGGAAATTTATATTAGTTTTCTTCGATGATATCCTCATTTACAGCAGATCATGGGTTGAGCATCTTCAATACCTTCATATTGTTTTTAACATTCTTCGAAGGTATGTGCTATTTCTCAAGAATCCAAGTTTACTTTTTCTCAAGTCTCAGTGGCTTACCTTGGTCACGTCATTTCTCAGCAAGGTATGGCAGTTGACCAAGAAAAATTGGATCTATGAAAAGATGGCATCTTTCTACTTCTGTCATGGTTTTGAGAGTATTCTTGGATTTAACAGGGTTCTATGGCAAGTTTGTTAAAATTATAACGTTATTGTGACTCCTCTTACAAATAGGTTGAAGAGGCATTTCTTTGTATGGTCTGATAAAAGTGGGCATGCTGTTATAACTCTCAAGAATGTTATGATGACTATACCAGTTTTAGCACTTAAAATTTTACCCAAGTTTTTAGTGTTGAGTTTGATGCTTTGACCTTGGTATTGAGGCAGTATTACAACATCAGAGCCGACCTATAGCTTTTTTCAGCCATCATTTGGCCCAACATTATCTAAGCCTTCCTGCTTATGAGAAAGAATTAATAGGACTGGTCAAGACGTCAAGCACTGGAGACCTTATTTATGGGGGACAACACTTCCGCATCAAAATTGATCATTACAGACTCAGATTTTTACGAGAGCAATCTGTTCTTAAACTGCAAAGTTGAATGCTGTAGAGTAGAAGTATTCAACTCAGAAAAACGAGATTCCTGTGGTGCTTTAGTGTCTGATTGTCTGGCAATTGTATCCACTGATTGTGGAATTTCTGATCAAGTCAGATATTGTAGCGAAGCTATCTCCCAAGCTGACTCGATCACAAGTGGTCCTGGTGGAATATCATTTAACGTGGGAGCACAAGCTTAGGTGAAGCAACATGTTGTCGTTTGTCTCCAGCGGAAAGCATGTGGTTAAGAACATTAGCACCCAACTTGTGGGGACAGACTTATTGGAAAGTTAGGAGGTCTTTTAGCATGACAAACACTCTAAAAACTTCACATAGCAAGTGGAAGAAGGGGCAGTGTGTAAGTTCTGGTTGGAGAATTGGTTACTCCATGTTAGGGGTAATAGTAGTCCTATATCTGCCATTACTTGAGTTTGTAAAATCATCTCTTTCCAAGTTTTGTTTTTTGTTTTTTTTTTTTCTTTTGGTTGAGGGATTTTTGTGTATTTGTGTTTTGTTTTCCCTTTCTTGTAAGTGTTTTTCTGTTTTACTAAGTAGAATGCAGTTGCCAGAAATGGAAGGACTTTGTTGTTCCAATGACCCTTTCTATGTTGTCATAACTGAGGTAAAAAAGAACAAAACTTTTGAAATTGTTGATGGTTTCTTCTATCTTCTTCCTTTCCCCGAGTCTTTGAGTAGATTCAATAATTTGCTTTCTTAATCTTTAAGTTTCCTGCAATATTAGTAACTTCAAGAGCTATATAACCATTATACAACAGACACTTATTTTGCTGCATTTTTTCAGATGTGTTTTTGTGGATGCTGGGGTTGCACCAATTGATATAGAGACTAGAAAGATTAAAGAAGAAATGAAACTGAAAGAGGCACAAACAAGAGCAGTTGCCGAGCATGGAGAATTAGCTCTGATCACGGTTGATGGTCCACAGGCTGCTTCTCAAGAAAGAGTAGCTTTGAGACCCCCAATGCTACAGGTACACAGCCTGTTATGCCAGCATAAGAAACTCTATGTCACTTCTTCTCTGTTACAAGGGATACATTCCTATTTGGATCTTGCTAAAAATTATTTGACTCATACATGGTTTATTTGTACATTAGAATTAGCATTGTCTTTTATATCTAATATCATAACCTCCATCAAATAAACATCCCGAAATATAAGCTTCAGCTGGAAAGTGGGAAACTGCTATAGTCTTTTCAAGAATTTAAGATTTTCTTTTAATGACTCGTGATTAACTTGTGGACAGTTCCTTTCTTGGAAAAGAATACAAATCTTCTTAGCTGCAGTTAAAGAAGCTTCTTTGTTGGGGTTTTTTATTTCTGGTTGTGCATTTTGTCCATTTTTTCTTTTCACAATAATCAAGAGTTATGGAGATTTTAATATGCATCCTTCCAGGTGGTCCGCCTAGCCTCCTTTCAACATGCTCCTTCAGTGCCACCTTTCATAGCATTACCAAAGCAATCTAAAGTTGATGGGGATGATTCAGGCCTAAGAGAGATGGAAGAAAGAAAGGTTAATGAGGTAGCTGTTGGTGGTGGAGGTGTCTCAGTGGCTGTTACTCGCTTTCCAGTTGAGCAGAAACGACCAGTGGGACCCCTTGTTTTGGTGGGTGTAAGAGATGGAGTTCTTTGGCTCATTGATAGGTAACTAAACCCCTCTAACTTTTAGAATTTAATGTCTAGCTGAAATCCAAATTTTCTGACCATTATGCATTGGCTGGAAACAGCATACAAATGGATTTAACGAACTATGATAGTTTTCCCATTATACATTTTCTTGATTGACCTTTTATAATTGCACGAAGGCAAACTCTTTCACTGAGTAAATAATATCATATTGGGTTTTGGAAATGTTCCGGTTAGTCTTGGTATATTCGCTTTCATC